TCCCTTCTGCTAATTCAGCTGTTTGGGGACCAGACCCTGTCTTCAACGCACCTTTACTGCTTAAATTAAGTGATACCCTTCTACGTAGTCACAGTGAGCTATGCAATAAGCACTGCAACTGTTTTGGGCTGAAAGGTTGCATTTAAATGCCGGAAGACTGTACCTGGTCTATGGTTCAGAGCTCAGCTTCTCTTTAGTAGGACAAAACCAGGAATGAGTGAAGCTTTAGCCATTCCTTAGCCTATCAGAAGTTACTAGCATTATGTGGAGGCTTAGCTCATGCGCCCTCTTTAAACTCTCAAAAATAAGAATTGGTGTTTGAACAGTTGTGCTGTGACTGTACCACTGGACAAGTACAACTTCATGCTGTGAGCTGTGGGGGTCAGTCACAACGGCATTCATGGGAACAGAACAGGTTTGGGGAGAATGCCCATTAAAGTTACTCATACGTTTTCCATGATGCAGAAGTATAATGTTTGTCTTCCCATGAATGGAGCCAGGTATCGGCCTGTTGTCTTGTCCACTGTTTGGCAATGTTGTACCTATGTACTAAGTCACACCTTAGTTCATTCACTTACTAACGGCTTTCCTTGACATTAGCTCTCCTGCAGTTCACCTCCGGAATATTTTAATCTTTCCTAATCTTCTTTAACAGAGCAGCGAAAGCTCAGCAGATGGGACTGTTTAAAACTGAGATTGTCCCAGTGAAGACCACCGTTCTAGATAATCAGGGCAACCAAAAAACAATCACCGTGCACCAGGATGAAGGGATTAGGCCCTCCACAACCCTGGAAGGCTTGGCAAAGCTGAAGCCTGCCTTCAAAGAGGATGGTAGCACTACAGCAGGTCAGCTCTGTTGTTAAGCTGGTGGTGTCCTGTGGTTTACCTGCCTTGTAATAGAGTGTGCTTAGACACCAGAGGTGTAAAGAGATCTCTTCCAACAGGTAATGCCAGCCAGGTCAGTGATGGAGCAGCTGCTGTTCTCCTGGCGAAGCGCTCAAAAGCAGCACAGCTGGGACTCCCAGTCCTGGGCGTGCTCAGGTCCTTTGCTGTGGTTGGAGTCCCACCCGATGTGATGGGCATAGGGCCAGCCTACGCGATCCCTGATGCTGTGGAAAAGGCAGGTAGGAACCACTTGTCACTCACCTGGTGTTTGGCACAAGGCAAACCGGAATCTGCAGGCTGAAATTTAAGATTATATTACTGAAGCCTGTGCAGCAGTCAGCCATAGGAACAATGAACTTAGATTCAAAACGTTAAAAGAGACTTTGCCTCGGATTATTGTAGTATTGTTTGCTTGTAGTCATGTATAAATTGTCATCTGCTCACCTTTGAGAAGCTCAGGATTAAACCCCTGCACAGTCTCAACAACAGTTAACATGTGGCACATGATTTAGTGTTTGTTTAGTGCTGTTTTCCTTAATATGACCAGCATGTGCAGGTGGGGGTGTTGTTTGGTTTCGTTTTGGGGTTTTTTTACAAGCTTTTATAGCCGATGATCTCCTGTTCACTGATTGTTTTATCTTTCAGTCCCAAAATACCCTTTGAGCTTTAATCCCTCTGCAAACACATCCCACTTAATCTAAGGAAATTTGGCAAACTCGGCAACAAACTACCATGAACTGTGGTGGTTTGCAGTCTTTAGATGTTGTACATAAACATGTGTGCAAGTGTTGGATACCCCGCACGGAGCCAAGGCCTCTCTTTTTGTCATTAATGGAGTAGAACTAGAACTCATAAAGGGAGTCTGTGAGTGAATTACTCTCTTTGAGATAGTCATAAGGCAAAAATACCTCCTTTTAAATCCTGGCTTTTTAAACCATAGGTCTGACTCTGGCTGACATTGATATATATGAAATTAATGAAGCCTTTGCAAGCCAGGTAAGTGATCATCCTGTTTAAGTTGGAACTCCAAATTAAGATTTAACTTGTTCTACATCTTACATAGGCAAATGTGAATAACGTGCAAGACTCTTGGAGGTCCTTGATGAAAGATAGAAGCTTCAATACTGCGTCTTCTACAGATTTGTGATGTGCCTGTCAGAAAGCATGTGGGCTCCAGTTTGAGGTGGAGTGGATGGGCTTAGATCACTTCCCTGTGTTTGGGATTTCTAATTAGTTCCACTCTTTTCCGTTGAAAGGATGGTCTTAGCTGGAGTCAGGCCTCTCAGTACTGACTGTTTAATACTTTCAGAGCAGCTGACACAACGATGTGGAATCTGTGTAATAATAACATACATAGTTTGAGTTAAGTTCATTTTAAGCACACACCTTTTGAAGCTACTGGAGCTCCTAGGACAGGTTGCTGTCCCTTTTTATATAGGCCTGAGATCACCAGTCCTCTCAGCTCTCTGTTGCGGGAGAGCTGAGACCTAACAAAGGTGAGAGCATCTCCATGAAACCTTTCCCTCTGTCTTTCTAGGCTGTGTACTGCATTGAAAAGCTGGGCATTCCAATGGAGAAAGTCAACCCCCTTGGAGGAGCCATAGCTCTGGGGCACCCACTGGGCTGTACCGGTGCTCGTCAAGTTGTCACCTTACTCAATGAATTGAAGCGCAGGGGGAAGAGGTGAGCACTGAGGAACAGGATTAGCCTTAATGCCTCACATGTGTGTCAGTAGCTTAAGCTCAGAAGTAACCATCAGCGTGGGTTAAGCTTTCTCCATCTCTCTGGTAGATTTTGAACATGAATTTCTGATGGTCTTCTTTAGGGAGGGCTGTGTAATGTCTTGCTGCCCTTTCTAACCCACACCATTCTGTGAATCTAGGATTGCAGGATTCTCCCACCCCCAATCTGATCTAAACCTCATCTGTCTTTTTCTTAATCCCATGTGTTCTTTCCTTTCAGAGCATATGGCGTGGTGTCAATGTGCATCGGAACTGGCATGGGCGCTGCAGCAGTGTTTGAGTACCCGGGGAACTAACCTCCAGCCTACTGCTGAAACAACGCAACAGCTAATTCTCTGCCTTCCCTAATAATAGCAAATGATTTGCACTGCAAAATTAAGTGGATTCTGGGATTCATTACTAGATCTACAAATTTTAGGCATAAACTGCAAAGTAGAGTAATCCATAGAGACCTACTGAGCCGGTGGGAAAATGCAGAACTGGCAAATAGCAGCCTGACAGCAGAAACAGGTCCAGCTGAAGATCAGGTGCAGGCCCTCATGTGGCGATTACAAATGGATATTTCTAATTTAATCAATCCCTTTATTCTGTGAATACTGTCAGAGAGAAGCACTTTATGGTACAGTGGTTTTGTATGACAAATTGTCTAAAAGTGTCACTCAAAATGAAAGTGGTTGTGAAAAGGCTTTTCCAGGGTTGGCTTAAAAGATGTCACCATGTCGCAAGAAGCCTGGAGCAGCTTGTTTGAAAGCAGTGCAAAGACTTTACACTGGTTCCTTTACAACTGCATCTGTCCCATCCAAGTCATAAACGGGCTCTGCCCTCAGGTGTCCCTATTCTGGAGGCTGGGCTGTAGCTTTCTGCTTCTAACCAGGCTGTTCTGAAGCCTCCAAGGGGGAGGGTAAAGTGAAGGACTAGAATGTAATTCACACAGGAGGTGCCTGAACAGAAAGGTTCTGATGAATTGCTACAAGCCAGGACTTGAAAGTGGCCTTTCCATCTTTTTTTCCCATCTTTTTCCACAGCTCATGTGACTCTTAAGTTAAAGGAGAGTCTTATGATTAATATTTACTTACCTAACATAAAACAGATTTCAGCTTTACTCTTACTGCAAGCACTACACAAACATCAGTGACATCTCAGCGCTAATACAAATATGTATTTCATCTGGTGAAGTTCTCCCTTACCTGTTGTCTCTCTTACAATCACTGAAACTCAGCATTAACAGCTTGAAAATGAAACATCCTCGTCCACTTTGACATGTTACAAATCTGAGCTTTTTAAGACAGCCTAAAGTTCTTTGTCCTGGCTGTTGGTTTTGCACTTAATAATACAATTGGGTTCTTGCAATATATTTGTTTTCTTTTTCTGATGTTAGTTGAGAGCCATGATTAGCTAGAGCTGTGTGGTAGTGTCCTGTTCCCGTGCTGCAGCCTGTCCCACTCACCCAGGAATCATTCAGGCTGTATTTTAGAGCAAAAAGATGAAATTATTTAGCGGTTGCAGAGAGGCATTACCATCCTCAAGGGTCCTTTTTCACACCGAGGTTCCTGTGTATAGAATGAGTTCTTGCTAGTACAAATCTGGTTTGAACTAGGCAGAAGGCAACGATCATACATCTTCTATTCTCCTCGGGGTGGGGAGGGTGGCCCCCTATTCCCCACACACACTGCCATTAACAAAAACCTTTTATATGATGGGAGTGGAAAACTTAACAGGCCCAGAAGTGGGAATTTCAGTGACCTTTAGCTAGAGCAATACTAAAAACATTTAGAGAAGTGTGAGTAAATAGGAACCATGTGGGGGGAATGCATTCAAAGGCAGAAGGGTTCCTCCCTCTGTAGCTGAAGGGGATGTCTCAATGCCCAAGCATGATGAAACACACAGGTTGGTCGTTTTCCAGGAAGTCCAGGGAAAGTTGGCTCTTCCCCTTTTCATGTGAGGGAAACAACCTGGGGAGTGCTGGCCTATTCACTTGTTCTTGCTTTTATGATATCTCAATATTTTTTTAATGTCAAACAAATAAGGCAAAACAAAAGCTACTTTATAATGTACAAACAGTCTTTAATTGTAATTGGAGGCATGCGAAGGGATTTGGCCTAACTCCTACCATGGCTGCTTTGCTGTTTCAAACCGATTACTTTGCAGAGTCTGTGGGTAGTGGTTAAACTCATCACAATGGTAGAAGCAATAGAATGAAATTATGACTCTTCTCTTTAAAGTACCGTGAACTTTTTTCCCCTCATAATTTGATATTACATTCTGCTAAAATTCCAGTCCATATTAAACCAACTGACAATACAGGCTCTGTGGATGGCACATCTGCATCCAACCTGTTACCTTGACATTTGTCCCACGGAGTCTTGCTTAAATTTAACACAGGTCTTCATACCTTCCATCGTAGGTTCCTCGCCCCTTGATCTGTAGCTTGCAGGGCTTCTCCCCCAGTATTCCGGTAACAGTCATGACTGCTTTGTATTGAATGTCGCTTCTGAAATGCAGAGCAAAAGGACAGTTCAGTTACAGGGAGATGCAGTTCTGTGGAGGAAAAGGGGAAGAACAGTGCTCTAAGCCATAAACTGCTTCTGGTCACAAGCACCGGTCTCTCATGCTGGTGTTGAGTCTGGGGGTGGCAGGATCAGTTCAGAGTGTCGTGGCCCACAGCTACATAGAGCATGTTTGAGAGGATGGTCCAGTCTGTACCTGAAGTAAAGATGTTGGGTTATTAACTTCATGTTGTAAAGAAAAACTTGAGTATCTTCCTACTTAAAAAATTCTATTTTAATTAAATAAACAAACCAAAGCTCTGCTGGGGGCTTGTGTTTGGGAACAAACGCCTGCACTGCCTTGATGTGAAAACTCATCCTGTGACAGCATTCAAAACAGAAGTTTCCATCAACTCTCTTAAGCAGCTTACAGCAAGCGCAGTTTTGTGCTAAGTGGAAGTCTTACAGCACAACTGACCTAAGGCTGCTGCTGCGCAGCGCTCCAGAGCCTGCTCATCTGAGGGATTTCTCTGTGTCAGAGATGGCTGTTGTCAAGGTCTGAGGCAAGAGCCTGTTCTGCCACACAACTTTTATTTTCTCCTCCTCACAAAAGATGCCCCTGCAGGACCCATTTAGGGAGGCGAGTTATTAAAATTACCTTACACCTTGCATATAATTATTTGCTGTTGCCACGCGGTCCTGAGTGCTGGGGGATGCGTAGTCTGGAGCTGGACAGGCGAGCTGGCTACTGTACAGCAGCATCTTTGCTTCTAGGCACTTCCAAGCCTGCTGATTGTCAGACAAAAAGAAGAGCTTCCAGCACATTCAGCAGCACTACATAAAATTTTGACACTCAGAGCCTGGGGAGGTCTTTGGTCCATGAAGCTGCAGGGTCAGGGCAGCTTAGAGCAGCTGCTCAAGGCTTCATCCCAGTGAGATTCCAGTAGCTCCAGTGAAGATCTCGCAGCATGTGCCAGGGAGATCGAAGTTACAACAGTAGCTCATGTCACCTACAGTTTGCTTCTTTAGCCTTCCCTGGCAGCAGTGTTCAAAGTTCCCTTAAATCACTGGGACAGACTTTGTCTTTCTTAAACTTTATGTCACCATGTGGTAACTTCCAAGAATAAAAGCCAAATGTTCTTACAGTAGTTGCATCTCTTTAATTAAAAAGAGATTAAAGACTTCGGGTCATCGTGGAATCACAGAATGGTTTGGGTTGAAGGGACCTTAAAGCTCATCCAGTTCCAACCCCCCTGCCATGGGCAGGGACACCTTCCACTAGACCAGGTTGCTCCAAGCCCTGTCCAACCTGGCCTTGAACACTGCCAGGGATGGGGCAGCCACAGCTTCTCTGGGCAACCTGTGCCAGGTCCTCACCACCCTCCCAGGGAAGAACTTTTTTCCCCATCAGGAAAAAAAATTCAGCTTCTCATCACCCCACACTCCCAAGTCCTCCTCAGGCTGCTGTCAGCCCAGGCTCTGCCCAGCCTGTATTTGTGCTTGGTTTGCCCCGGCTCACAGAGAGGACCTTGCACTTGGCCTTGTAGAACTTCATGAGGTTTGCACTGTCCCACGTCTCCAGCCGGTCCAGGTCCCTCTGGATGACATCCCTTCCCTCCAGCGTGTCACCGCACCACGCAGCTCAGTGTTGTCAGCCTACCTCTGCCATGCACAACTAGTTCCTAACCTTGACAAAGATTATGATGTTTACAGGACAAAGTCATTTTCATCTGCTCTATTCTTTACCTTCATTTGCCTGCAGCTCGCGTTATCTTTACTGTGTAGAAAACCTTTGGACTAGACAAAAACACATCGTTGCTTTTCTTTCTCAAACATCTGACTGTAACACTAACCATTGCACCTGGCTATGCAAGGGCAAAACAAATGGTATCACTGCATTAGAACAACATTTTGCTCTGTTTGCTTCATCAGGAGCTACTCTGAACACACGCAGGGAGGAAGTACAGGAATTCAAATAGTTTCTTTTAGAGAGGAGCCACATAAACTATGAGAAAGATCCCTGAGACTGGCTGCAAAAGACACTATGCTTTCCTGCAGGTTAAAGACGTGCTTTAGTGGAATTCTGAACTACTCTGGACACATTTCACCTTCTGTCCTAATAAAGTGCTGCATGTATAAAGGACTCAATTGTTGTGTCAGCCTCTGCATTGACTTACAGCCCTGAGCTCTGCCTGCTGTTGAAGATGTTGCCCTAAAGAAAGAGATTTAATCCAGTGGTATGTGCCATGCCAACTTTTGGAACAGCATGATTTCAAGTAGATTAATCCAAAGCTGAAAATCTGGGTGCTAAATCCAAAAGAAATCCCATATATAGGAGCAGTGTAGAGAACATGGTTGTGTGGAAGAATTACCAGCTGGGAGGCCAGCATTGGCATGTGTTAGAATCAAAATGAGCAGCCTGGTAACACAAGAACAGAGCAGACCTGCTCTTTGCTTTCAGCGACCACACACACCATAAACTGGGGCTCGACAGGGAAGAGCAGCAAGATCTCAGTCCTGTTAACTGTACCTTGCAGTAAAGCTGATCTGCAGAATTGCTTTGGTAGGTGGGTCCCCTTCACGTGCCTCCAAAATACCATTAGCAGGGGAGACAGAAAACACCTCTGCGTTGTTTTGCTTTTTCTGTTCATCTGCAGCGAGAGGGGCAAATAATCAAACAAAGCAATACAAGAGAGTTTGTATAAGTCTGTACAGCATATCGTGCTCAAACCAACGTGCCTCTGCACTAGCCAACGAATAAATCATGTCCTGCACTGTCAGAGGCTTTCTATGCCTGTGGCCAGTGTCTGTTTTCATCCCCTAATCAAGGGGATCAGTGGCCTTCATGTCAAAATCATAAAGCCCTGATCCTCTTTCCTTTGAAGCCCGTCTGTTTTAACATCATTAGGCAGAAGCTCAAACCAAACACATGAGGATATGCTGCTTCTTGTTGCCTCTTAGGATTGTATTGTGAATGAGCAAAGCACGCCTGTTACTTGTAGGGGTTGTGATTCAATCTTTGGTTAAATCTGGAGTAACTGCTGAAAGCAATAGAGATACACTGACATCAAAAAAAGAAAAAGCCCTCGTAAGTGAGAACATGACAACAGAAGCAGATCTGATACGTTTGCAGCCAACATCATCATACACTGGCTATCTATTGGGTGAATGAAGGTAGTCTTACTAAATAAAACCACTGAATAGTAAAACTATATAACAAGGAAATCCAATTGCAAACACAGAATACCCAGCAAAGCAGTCCAGTAACTTCTACAGCCACTCCTGTTACACAGGAAGACATGTTCAATCTTGGTCTGTCCAACAAAGCACCTCTTGAAATGAACTGTGTGGCAGGAGAGCTTCAGAACTGGAACAGTGAGGTATGCAGTCACTGGGACCAGCTGCAAAACAGAGGAAAGGGAAAGGAGGAACAAACCACCTGATTTCTGTAGAGCTTTAACAGAATCTGCTGCAGGTGGATCATTCTTAACCTCAAGCACTGAATCAAGAGTAGTTGCTCTGTATTCTTTCATTATAGAGTTGATTCCCCATTCTACAGCTTTGAGTGAAATAAGTTGTTGTTTTAATTTTTTGAGACAGGTTTTCAAACCAGACACTGTGATCTTAATGAAATAACATGGAATGAACATCCTCACTTGTTATTTGGGTTTTCTTTAGAGATGCAGACATTACAGCATCTCAACGTCCCTTAGGACTGCAGATGACCCACTGTGAATCATTCAATTTGTGCAGATTGCCCAAGGTTACTATTGACTGTATCTTAGATATGATGCTCGGACCTTACACAGATCACTCCTCAGAAGCACCTGGTACGAAACAAAACACAAACAGAAAACCCCCACCAATGCCTGCAGTGTGCTGGAACTGCTGAACACTTTGTGGGGTTTATAGCTTTCCATTTGGAAGAGCTTGGTCTTTAGATTGTGTGTGGGATGTGACCACACCACATGAGTTAGACAGACCCAGGAGACTCTCAAGAAGCACTCGGGTACTGCAGGAGGCAATGCTTGGTGACTCAGTTGCTGGCATGGTCGCTGAGACAGTCCTGACCCCATGTCTCGGAAGGACACTGGGAGTCAGACTGTGACTGGGCATGTTGCCCTTGGATCGAGTTGGATCACCATCACTGTCATGCTGTGCAAAGAGCTGGGGCACCAAGGTGCAGACCCAAAACTGGTCTGTCCATCAGACGTCTCCATTGAGGCTGTCACATGCAGCCTCAATGGAGAGAATCACCTGCAGCCTCAATGGAGAGCTATTTGCAAATCCCTGGCCGTTCACTTGAACTGGATGACACACTTTAGAGATGACTGTATTTCAAAGCTGAGTAAACCCTAAGGCACATTCAATCCAAGTCAGAGATGCTGATAAAACACGGCCCCTTCTCTCTCAGGGCCCAGAGAACTGGTTTAGATCTTACCTGGGTAGTGCGGTTACTATATTCAATGACAAGATTTTGATTAAACTTCAGCTTTCTCTCTCCATTCTCAAATTGGAGCACTTGGAATCCAGGAAGCAGCTGGGTATCTGGCAAATGTTGATACATAAGTAACTCCAGAGTTGTGTGGAATGACACTTTCACCTGTGGGAAGAGGAATTCAGATGACCGTCACGTAAGACTACACTGTCTGCAGGAAATCCAAAGTAAACATTGCTCAAAGATCCAGATGCACATTTTCCCACTGGAACCTAAAGGTGTCATGCCAGCAACCAAATTCCCACTGGAACAAAGCATTATAATTCAAGAAAAACCACAGCTATTTCCTATGAGTCCAGTACACAGATATGGAGTGTAAAGGTGAACAACTGATCTCCAAATCACAGCAGAGAAACAGTCTCTAGGAAGACAAATTCCTGTTCTACATTCCTGAGGTTACAAATACTGTATTCCCAAAGCTATCTTAAACATGCAAGTCTTCTTTCTTCCCACATGTGTGCCTGCATGTCAAAATGAACACTGGAAAATGAGGAGCACACTTCAGAAATACAGCTGTTAGTGATTCCTTGCGCCCCAGCTGATTCTTGTCTTTGGGACTTTGTTTCCTTTAATGTCATTGTCTAGACACCAAACAAACCAACTTTTTCTGTTTGCATTGCCTGCATCTAATTTAGGGAAATAAGGGACTGCAGCCTTGGGAATCTTCTAATTTGTCCAGCATATATATGGCTATTGATTTAGGTGAGCTCCAAAAACCACAGGGTTTCCTGCAGGAGGCTGCAACAGGTCAGAGTTGATGAGAAAAGCTCACCAGGGCCACAGCAGAAAAACATTTTGTACCCACAATATAGAGGTCAAACTTGCAGCAATGAGCTTTTGTTGATATACCACTATTTGCCCTGAAACTGGGAGATTTCTAGCCTGTTTGTGTTTTTCTTGCGGTTCACATGGGCCACACTAACACACCAGTTACACTAAACTATCTATTCTGGCACAAGATTATTATTTTTGAGCCTACCAGCATGTTCTGCTGTGGATAAAGTACAAGTTGCGGTTGCTGTCCCTCTTCCTCCCTCTTGCTGTGGGATGTTTTGGTGCTCTTTTGGGGATCTGTGCTGGAGAGGCTGAAGGGCGTAGACAGAAGAAGCCTGAAGTACAGAGGAACCTTAGTGCAATTGATGAGTTTCAAACTCTGAGTCATCTCTGAATCGGTCAAAACCTGGTGCAGAAATGATTCAAAACTGGTTAGTTTTAACTCCCTGGAGAGGGTTGTGCTGGTCTGTCTGGTCATTCTGCACCAGAAAAAAATGAAGGGCTTTACCCCAAAGCAAACTGGTATTTTCTGCTCGTGTTTTCCAAAATGTCTTGAGTAAAACCCCCAATATATAAATAATGTAATAAGGTTAAAAAGTCTTTCAATGTCAAAGGTCACAGGAATGGACCAGGCTGCTCTGAGTGACTCATTCTATCAGACCTTTTATCCTGAAATTAAGTACTTATTTTTCTGCTTATAAGCTCCTCTTCAAAGAAAGAGAAAGGAACACAAAATAGGCACTGGCTAAGCTCAGCTTTGCTTATTCCTGGCTGAAAAGTACTTGAGGTCCTTTTGTTTTACTTATCTTCCTATGTGCAATATAGACAATTGCAACATGAGGCTGCTGGAGATAAAGATGCATTTTAAAAACCAGGTGCATGCAGCTCTGAATTCTTGCAATAGTACAATCCAGCTGAACACACCTGTGCGTGAAATACTTACTCCTAACACAGGACAATCTGGCACGAGATCGCTTGCCACTGCATAGAACACCATTCCTCTGTCAAGATCCATGTCTACTTTCAACCTGAGCATAAAGAATCAGAGCTGGTCAGAGCCCTTTCCTCCAGGCTGATCCATTCTGTGGCTGTACCAGCCGGGGGTGTGAGGGTACTTACAGAGCATGCCTTACAAAAGCTTGCAAGTCTACTCGTAGCTGTGGTGCTTCATAGCGGTGTCTGCGATGCACTTTGTTAGGCACTGCCTTTGCAAGCTGAAACTAGAAATGATGTATAAATGATAGCACTAAAACCCCAAGCCCTGCTTTTACCCCAGGAGACTGTTAGCCAAAATAGGATTCTGCGTGTCAACGTATTGCCTGTTTGTAAAGCATGATGGTAACACACAAGGAAAGGCAAAAGCTAAGCAGTAGATGAACTCTGAATTGTGGTTAATACCACAGATATTAACTATTAAAGGTATTAATACAGCAGATATTTCTTCCTCCAGGAATCAAAACCATCAGGGATGTTTTTATTAAATATTCTATTATCATTGATTCGTTATACCTTGCACCTTTGCAATGATTCATGTCAGAGAATTGCAGAACAATTCATGTAACATTATTCAAGCCTCCCATTAGCCTTTGAGCTGCAGTTATGAAAGAGGAAGTTTCCCAGAGGAGAGAGATGCTGTCCAAATTCACACAGGAAGGTGGATGCAGAGCCAGGAACAGAACTCAGCAGTCCTGAGTCTCAGTCCCATTGTTAACTACTGTTATCAATAAAGCCTGATGTTGTGATAGTGTTTCAAATCCTGGGCTTTTGTCTGGGTTCTACTGCACCAGACAATGTAAGAAGATGAGGACATTCCCACCCCAGCATGCTTCCAAAGCAAATGTAACAAATGAACAACTCCAGTTAAGGAAGGATGTAAGAGGGTAGCAGGAACAGGACTGTTTATACAGACTGGCCAGGTACACAGCAGCTGGTACATAAATTACAGGAAGGGAAACAATTATTTTCTAGTCATCTTTTCTAGTCATCTGGACCTCTTGGAGCGAGTCCAGAGAAGGCCACGAAGATGCTCTGTGGGCTGGAGCACGTCTGCTATGGAGACAGGCTGAGAGAGCTGGGCTTGTTCTCCCTGGAGAAGGCTCTGGGGAGACCTTAGAGCAGCTTCCAGTGCCTAAAGGGGCTGACAAGATACCTGGAGAGGGTCTTACAGCAAGGGTATGTAGTAACAGGAGAAGAGGGAATGGCTAAAACTGACAGAGGGGAGATGTAGATCAGATATTAGGAAGAAGTCCTTCCCTGTGAGGGTGCTGAGGCCCTGGCACAGGCTGCCCAGAGAAGTTGTAGCTGCCCCATCCCTGGCAGTGTTCAAGGCCAGGTTGGACAGGACTTGGAGCAACCCGCTCTAGTGGAAGGTGTCCCTGCCCGTGGCAGGGGGTTGGAACTGGATGAGCTTTATGCTCCCTTCCAAACCATTCTGTGATTCTGTGATCCTTAGCCTGGCTGTGATAGCGAGTTTACCTTGTCGTCTAAGCTCATGAAACCCAGCACAAACCCTTCACATTCCACTTCAGTCACTGTCTGTGCGAGGACGTGTGGGGTGAAGGAGATGCAAACGGAGATGCTGCCACCTCCTGGAACCACCTGCAGTAGAGAGACAACTGTTCAGTAGCGCAGGGAGCTGCCTGGGGTTGCGCAAGCATCCTTCTCAGCACTCAGCAGCTACATTTGAGTTGTGCAAGCAGCAGGAAGTCTCCTGGGCAGTGACTCTGCTCAGGCTGGCATTAAAATGACAAGTGACAACAAAACCGACAATTATTTCAGCTGTAAACATCAGTGTAGCCACTCTTTATCATCAACAGAGTTTAAGCGTAGTCACAGACCAACTCTCTAAGTACACAAGCACATGTAAGTGTGCTTGTTTTTAAAAATACCCAGCTCTGCCCACTCTTACTCCATGGCTAACTCAGATGGTTGTCCCATGACTGACAATGCTCACAGGTAGAAGAAGCATTTTTATTTAAGAATTACAAGTATGAATTAAGGGTATTTTACAGTTCAGTTTAATTTTTGCTGGTTTTTTATTTCACGTGAAAGCAGGGAATGTAATCAAATGCGCTAGTCAGCTAACGTGGATTTTCTGGGATTTACTGGTTCAATAGAATCTGCTTTCTTTAGGTGCATTATGCATGTCATGGTTAAATCCTACTATTGCTACAGAAAAACTTTCGTCATCTCCCTACAGAAACACTTCGTGTCTAGCCAAGTTTGTAAGCTCAGGGGCCATGTGGTGTGTACCGCTTTCAAGCTCCTCCCGTGCAGACACAAACTCCCCCCTTTCATGTGACCACTGGGCGAGATGTTTGCTGTTGTTGGACCTACACTCAGTAGAAGCAAAACTAGCTCAGCTCTCCTTCCACTGTGTTCCCCTGCTCAGGGCATTGTAAGAGAGCTCTGCCTAAGATCGAGCAGGGCCAGAGCAGAGTCAGTGAGCTCTGTCATGTCATACAACACTGCAGGGTCTGTGCATTGCAGTCAGAGAGAGCTTAGCTATTCAGACATGGACTTAAGCCAGCTCTGGCCAGCCATGCTGCACAACACCTGGGCTAATAGACCTTCCTGCAGCAATAGTAGAAACTCTCTCTGCAGAGAATGACCTGAATGACTCCACAGGCTGATGCTCCATTCCACAGGGGTAAACCCCACTGCTGGCTGCCCTGACAGAGGCTGCCTCCACAACGAAGCACACATTGGAATGATCTCAACACAAATAATCCCAGAGTTGGCCGTGGGCTTCATTTATTTGAGATGCCATCCCTGTAATTATTTCTTTTATGTAATCTTTAGCTCATTCTAACTTCTAACTGAAGCTCTTTGGCAAAAAGCTTGCTAATAATTAGGAATCAAAATTGACACACTGATGTTTTGGGCAACCCTGTCCCTCAGTGAGATCTTTCCAGTGCTGTCTTTACTTTATCTTATTCCTAAGGAATTGTGACACTGGACCCTATTTGCACAGTTACTTTTGAAGCACTTTGGGTTACAACAGTTTATCCGAAAGAGTTGTCTACAGAGCAACAGCCTGCTTGCTAGCTCTGCTACATCTACTTAGCAAATCTACCCTGGTTAAATGACATCCTTCCAAAGCTTCATGCTGGATGCCACCCACCTAATGCCACACATTTCACTAAGGCAACCCAAGTAAGAAGACCAGAGATGCTACTCTAGAGAGCCTAGTACAACTGAACACTTAATTCCAGTCATCAGTTAACTGTTCAAATGTAGGTAGGACAATTCCTTTTCTCTGTTGACTTTGAAAACTTCCCATGGTCATCTTCAAGATCCCAAAGCCTCCTAGCTTACTGTTTAGTAGCCTCTATCTCAAACCAAAGCTACCTCCTCCTCCTCTGTCCTGCAGGAAATATGCTAAATTTAAGCACAAAGAAAATGTAAAATCTTACTATCTGTCTTGGAGCAATGGAGTAGGGGCTGTCTGCAGGAACCCCTTCATGAGGTCGTATAAGCATAGAGACAAGTTTGTGTACTGTAGGTCCTTGCGTGATGATTTCCTCCTCTTTGCTGTCAGATCCTGAAGACTGCAGGGACACAAGGGTGGGGAATGGTTAAAACTGTTATGCTGCGAAGTAGGAATGCAAGTGAAGCGAACAGGGAACTGCTGCACTAGTCAGTCAGTAAGCACGGCCAGCTCCAGCTTCTTTCTTTCTGGCGCAAAAGCTGGACATGTGGATGTGTCTTGTACATTAATTTTTTCATGTATAGGTTTGCTGTCCTGAAACAGCTCCTGAACTCCTTGGAAAATGTGCATGCTTGGGTCCTGTTCTACCCAGAGAAGCACTCAGCTGTGTCATCTCTGGCCTGTTATACAAACCAGCACTCCAGAACAATCATGTTCCCTTGTTTCACAAGAAAGCTTAGAGATGTATTCAAAACAACTGTGTCTTCTAAGCTGAAGCAGAGAAAATGAGAACTTAATATCTTTTTTGTAAAGCTTTTTCCAGAGAAATATACATACCCTGCATGATATATTCTTGTCACTCCCAGCCCTTCAAGACAGTAAATTGCCGTATTATAATCAAACTTCACATGTAACGCTCTCTTAGAACATGGTAGCATCTAACAGAACCAATCTTACTTTGGCACTAGGGTAAATACCTCCATATCATTAGCTGTAATTTGAACTTTGCAGGTTAGATTCTGCTCCCTGATTATTGCACATACTGACACTAGAAAGCACCAATGGAAGAAAAGTAGACCCAAATTAAGGAGTTTCAGTCATCGTAACAATTTCATGTAAACATGGCATTAGCTTTTCCAAAGACAGTATTTTAAAAAGTATCTCAGCAGCTTTTTTAACAGTTTTAAGAAAAGTAGAAGCTGAAGAGTTATTTGCTTACAGCTCATTCTGGAAAACGATTGCTGATACCAATGGCCATCTGCTCATGTATTGCTTTTTTGACTGTGAGAGGAGCTGACATTTCTTTTAACAATCCAGCTCTTAGTTACAAGTTATATGTCATGTTATTGTTTTCAACCTTTCATGCCAAGAAACCCATCATGTATCTCAGCAGCAGTATGAAAAACAGACCAACAGCTGACCTCATCGGTGGTTTGCAAAGCTGGATAAATGCTTCTGCAGGGAATGGCAGATTGATTCAACTTTAACATGATCTCTGACTCTGAGGTGCTACCAACTGGTCCAGTCTCATTTTCATCTGTGTCCTTAAGAGAAAAAGGGTCTTCAAAGAACATCAACAGGTCCACCAGTTTGTTATCATCTCGTTCTTGGCTGTAAACTTCCCAGTCCAGGCGGATGTCTGAATTGAAGAGGAGAAAGGACAATTACTTCTGGTCACTGAGAAGACTTGTATCTCTGCTGGTACCAGAGAACCAGCATATCAAGGAATGAATTTATGTCTAGCAACCGGATTTGTATTGAAGCATATCTTAAGCTTTCAATTTTTGCTGTAAACTGAAAGGATTTAAGACCACGTGGACTGTGCTCTTATTATGGCTTGGCCACCTTCTAGGTCTTAACCTATACTGTTAGTAACATTAAAATAAATCACGAGCATTTTGTTTGTTAAGCAGATGTGTTTGGTGGCATTCAGGAAAAAAAAAAGTGATTGACCTTTGCTCTGAAGCATTTAGTGTTTCACTCAAGAGATAAAGACTAAACACAGGAGAGCCAGATGATGCCACGAAGAAGGAGGTAGCACATCTGATTAACCAGAGTTAGTGTTGTGAGAGATTTACAAAAACAGGGTGGAAAATCCTGAATTCCCATCTTTTCAAGGAGTGAAACCCCACCAGGCACATCAGGATTAGATGTGCCATTTCATAATAACAACAAATTGAGTCAATTACATATATTCTTCTACACTCTTGCTGGAGCTTACCTGCTTTACAGTTACATGACACAAACTAATATTCATGGCAGTAATACCATAATGATAAATACTATTATGGATATAAAGACCTGACAACATGTATTATTGTTCTGTACTAAGTTAGAAAACAGGTTTGACATGCTTTTATATATTATTACTATTTTTTACAAACCTCATCTTGACTAGGAAACAAGTAGGCCTATTACTTAACATGTTAATGGGCCCCTCTATGGACTCCTCTCGGCATCAGTGGTTGCTGTACAAAAGTCATTCTTACCAAAGGGAGTGGGATTGTTGAGCTGGACCCTCCGAAAGACAGGAGACCCTCCAGAGACATGAGTCCCAAATCTGAGGGGGGAAACCTTGCTGTCAGTACATGGAGAAAATAAGAGTGGATGTTTGAAATCATTAAAGATCTGTTTAACAGTGGAAACATCTGGCTGCACTGGCAGCCTGTTAAGAATGGCTATCAGGCAAACCGTGGCCTATACTGTGAAGTACAATACTGCTTTATTTAATGTCTCTGTTTTCCAGTTTCTTAGTTGTCTCAGATGTTTCAAGGTAAATAAACATCTGAAATCAGGCATATGGAACACTCTGGAAGTGGCAGCAAATGGCTACATGACGGAGTTACCCATGTCAGACATTTCCAGGTGCATAAAGGTACTGTTTTGGTTTGCTGTTTTTTTGCCAACCTCATTATACCACAAAAAGATGGGAACAGGTGTTTATATTGGCTATAGTCCAACAGTATTTAATTCTCAGACAGTATTTTGTGCTGTACCTGATTATGGGTGACTTTGTTTGTGGTCCTGTCATCTGCAGGAAGATTGGGCAGCCTTTCACAGTCATTTGCATAGGAATTAATTTAGGTGGTAAGTCTCCCACCTATTAAAAGAAAATTGTTGCTGTTAGAATCAAGATACAACTTTAGTTCTCTGGGTTAAAAAAGAAAAAAAAAATTTTAAAAAATGATTGGATTTTCAAGTGTTTTTTATTGGTTTCTTTTGACAGCATCTAGTTCATATGCTAACGAAAGCTCTTCTCAGCAGGAGATTGCATTTATCAGCCTTCCTGTGGCTTTTTCATACAACACAATATATTATGTTGGTAGAGCAGAGTAGTGCACTGGCCAGCTACCAAACAGATTTTATAAATCAAAACTGTTCCAGTCATTTTAAAGGCACATGGAAACCTCCCAAGGGATCAACACGTCACCCCAGAACTAAACCATGCTCTGTACGAGGAAACAGTTGTCCCTCATTGGAGGTAGTGGTATAGCAATATATACCCTGAATTTTTACACAAGTCCCAACAAGCTGAAAAGGTATTTTTAACAGAAAGGAATCTGGGAAATGCAATTGGTGTAAAATCTGCCATAGCAACTCTTCACTTAAAACTGAAGCCCCACCTACCTTACAGACAAGATCATCGCGGTACTCTCCCCACATATTGTTGTAAGCTGTTATTTCTATGATTAGCTGCTGGAAGGCTTTCAGAGTTCCTGTGGAAGGTTGTATATGGAAAGCTACTCCCTTCCCATGAGACAGCAGTGCTGCTGCAAACTCTGAAGGAGCACAGCAAAGAAGCATTTGATGAATTTTGAGGAAATGGAACAAAGTCCTTCAAAGAATATGTAGGACCGTATTTTATAGCTGGTGTTAACCAGCCTAAACTCACTGGCTTCAAAAAAACCTGGGATCATTGATGCAACCCACATTCATAGCACTTTACCCAAGTTCCCTTCTGCAGTGGGTCATAATCTGATTTTGAGAGTTATTTCTCACAGAGGTTATTTTATAGAAGGAATTCCTTCCAGCAACCTGATCCCAGACTTTTGGGGATATGCAAAGGACTAAATGGTTACATGAAAACACCCTCAGTTTGAGAAAAATAAGCTAAAGTTTGTGGTAACTGGTTGTCATTCTAAACAACTGTCTGTTTACCTCTGTGTGCTCTGCAACACAGAGAATGAATTACAAAGAGCAAAGCCTTTCCATATTCTGAGTCACCTAGCCTTATAAATCAATAAGCTTGCATGGAATCAGTCAGAACAGCATTCTTCCAATATTAAGTACTAATTCAACAGCTGAAAATCTCTGTGTTTGTAACAGATACCAAACACTATGGCAAGGTACCAATTATGTCCAAGTTTTATTTTGGATACAGAAGACACAAGCACACATTATAGGATTTTTCTCCCATTTTCCCCCTCCCTGGGTCTCATGTGGCTCCAAATATTATTGTTTTTCAGTACAATGCATTAGAAATGATAGATGCGTTGTGCTGCAGCTTTCCACAGCAGGGAAGGTATATGAAAGGGTTTGAGAGAGAAAAGTCTGCTGTGGTGGCATTAGAAGACTCTGTAGAAGGGAAATAACCAAAAGCTACGCATGTCATCCATCCTGTGTGCTGGGAGTGATCCTGGGAGTGAACTATCACCAGAACCACTCATCTTTGTTTCAGACTGCTGTTTTCAAGGAAAAGAAGAAGAAAGAGAGGGAGAAAGGAAGAGAGTGGGAGACAGAAAGCAGGGGCTTGGGGGTGGGGAGATTAAAAAGGAGCAGGAGGAAGAGAGAATTTGACCTAATGCTTGTGTAATGTGTGCTTTCAAGCTCAAGAATGCACTGAGGAACTAAGTCATTTAACAGTGCAGGCTTAGCCAGATACTTTCAGAATCAAATAACATGCCTGACGGGCACATTTAATACTGAACACTTTAGTCAGTTGGCTCTTGCCTTCTGTCCACTAAGGGATTAACAGCTGTTATCATACCTGACCGTGCTCTTCTGGCTGCATGTATTGAGATGGGCCCGCTTCTTTTCACCAAGTAGCTTGAGGAACTTGAAAAAAAGTAAAAAAGCCACTTCTGTGAAATGAGAATCCTCTGTTCTTGCATTGCGAGCTGTCTGTTTCTGCAGGAAATCTCATTTGCAGGTTTCATTACCACAGTCAGAGTAAGAGCTTTAAAAAACCCCACCAGAGCACTGCAGAAAGTGTACCTCTTGACGGAGGCAATAGCACTCTATCCTGATTTCAGATTCAATCCAGACCTGAATTAGTATTGGAGTCACTATGCAGAAAAGCAAGACTTACGGGCAGATTCCTTGTTCTGGAGTAAGTGAGTAGCCAGTAAAATACTCAGCTTCTAGTTTGAATGGAGCACTGATTCCAGTATGATTGGTAAGTATTAGCTGACGTTTTACTGTGTCTTTGAATGCAACTTCAGATCCAAAGTCCAGAACAAGATCACACAGAGTTTGTGGCATTTGTTTTTCATCACTGTCAGAAAAAATTACATTAGTATTAAAACGTAAGTCTTATTTTCTTATGCCACAGGTAATTTCAGTAATTTTAAAGTGTGCAATATGCAGTGTGGTTGTGCTGAACAGTGTCACACAACCATGCACCTTACAATTTTTGTCATCAGCATTTTCATTTTTTCACTTCTATTCATGCAAAGATCTATTTTGAGCAAGATCTTTATGTATAACATATGCAACCCTACCAAATTAAAGCCGTTTTTACTTTTTTTAATCGATAAGCATAATCCAAAAGAGAGTAATGATGCTATATATCAGAAAAATAAACCAAAAATCAGTCACAAACCAAGGTAAAGTGAAGTATATTCATCTCTCTTTAACATCATGTCTTACAATGCAACAACAAAACTTAATGGTCCAAAATACAGGATCTTGGGTATAATTCTGTAATTCTAAATTCACATCTAAGAGATGAATTCACAAATTTTTGGCATTATAGAAAATAGTTATTACGCAAACATGTGAGAGACTTCAGAGGCCCCACTCTTTAGTTACCAGGGAGAAAGGTAATTTTTCCTGCTCTTTATACACAAAAGAATCAAGGCAACCGGTAAATTACAAGTCCCAGGAACAAAAGGGAGAACAGACACAAAACATAAACATGAGTTCCACTAAGGGCAGTTGTGCAGTTGACTTCACATCAGTTTATTATTCATGAATTAATGAATTCATAGTTGCTAGTTTAATTTGTTTCAGTTAAACAGTGGGGAGCAGTGCTCTTCTCCAGTCTTCTCTTGGGCTTATGAAGATAATGAATTTGGCTAGGGTGTAAACCCAGTACCTTTTTTTCACATAGGCACCTTCAGTGAATTGTCCCAGCACATCTTACTGTCCTTGCTGCCTACAGCAGGAGGAGGAATGACATTTACATAGATGTTTCCCCTCTCCCATTGTATTTTTGTTTTAGGACGAAGTAATTTTTGTTCTGTTCAGGGGCAAACCCTTGATTTACCTGGCAGCTCCGCTGTCAGAAGGTACCGAGTAGGTGACACACAGACCTTTCACTTCTCCAGAAATGCTCAGAAAGAGGGGTTCAAGCATATCTTCTATGCTACAGGAAAGGGCAAGGTCTTTCAGCTCACCCTGAAAGCCAAAGAGTCAAGTTTCCTTGCGAATGAAGCAAATGGCACAGAGGAAAGGCAGCTTCATTAAGAAACTTATTTAGAAAACGTGGATAAAGTTCACTGGATTGAAACCAGAACTATAACAGAAATGTGAAAAGTTTTACTGAACCATTTTAAGTGCATTTTCGGCCAGCATCAGAGTTGCTTAGAAAGCAGTACCAAGGTAAAGAAATATGTGACTGTTTGTTGGCTTTGTACCCACATCAGTCTAAAAGCCTAAAAGTGTTCCATTAGTGATTTTTGACACATTTCCCATATTGCAAGTGTTGAAGCTCTAAGCATTAATTGCTTCTCATTATGTTTAAATAGTCCTCCAAACCCAAGGGTTTATTTCTACCTGGGTCTAAAGCTGGACTTATAAGATGAATTATGTGGCCCAATCTCTGGATAATTCAACATTACTATTTTCTTTTGCCTTATCAATGCATGAATCAGTGCATCCAGCATAAAATTACAGAGTGGGATTTAACTCCACATTCAGACATCTAAATGTTAATTACCTAAATATGAACCCTTGAGTTCATCTATAAAGATGAACTCCAAACATGAGCTCTACATCTCCACTGATTAATGGTTCTTAGGCATCTAGCTCACCTTTCTGACAGGTGGCTTGGATGGCATTCAGTTCCCCAGCCACACGCAAGAATGCCCTTTCAGACGCCCGGTGTGTCCTGTTGAGCTTTCCATGAAGGCTCACATTTACTGGGATTCTATGCCACATATGCCAGACACATGGGTATCTGGTATCTACTAGGGCATCTCTGATAGTATTGAACACCTGCTTTTAAGCTAATAAATGAAAGTCATCCCTCCAGTAGCTGTAATGGGAACTAATACACCATACTATAAGAAGATCCTTTATTTAGCTGCATTAATTTAGGCCTATGGCTGAAGTCCTGAAGTTCGTAAACTCTGCAGCCTATGCCCTATTTTACAGGCTCTTAGTCCCAACAGCCCCTTTTAAGTTTTCAAATGTCAAAATGTCATGAGCCCAACTGCATTCAGAAAAGCAAATGCATTACAGATAAGAGCACACATCTCAAAAACCAAACAAACCCAAACAGGTTGGATGGAGCTTTGAGCAACCTGATCCAGTGGAAGGTGTCCCTGCCCATGGCAGGGGGTTGGAACTGGATGAGCTTTAAAGTCCCTTCCATCCCAAATCATTCTATGATAATATCTATGCCAGTCTTCTCCGTTTCATTTGGAATAATCTAAAGTGAGGATCTGCATGCTCCAGGAAAAAAGATACGCATTAGGAGTAACTGAATAGGCATTCAAGAAAGCAAGAAAACAAGAACAATTGAGAAACAAAGAGGCAGGGTAGAAAATTGCATACCATGTGGACTGCTTTAATTCTTGTCTTCAACCATGATACCTCTAAGCAAAGCAGCTTCAGAGATATTGTACAGAAGAAAAAGCATTATGTTTTGTATGTAGAAACCCTTCCTTTTGCCAGCTGGAGTCAAGATAAGAAGGCCAGTGTTGCCATTTTGATAAAATAGCATCAGTTTTCAAACCTACCAGAATGTTAGCTGACAGCTCTATGCAGAATTCTTTTTCTTCATTTGGGCCTAATGTGCCACTGGCTGGGGAGACAGTGGCAGAGCAGAAAGCTGCCTGACTTCCAATGAGCTGCCAAACAGAAAGGACAGGCATTCAGCCAACTGATTTTCTCAGATTTTCTCTTCAGATCAAAGAAGACTATCAGACTGAGGGATTCTGAGGTTTAGGACACTTTCAGGTAGTAAAGTATATAGTTTACTGAGGCTTGCTTTACAATTCATCTATGGTTAATAAAATCCTCATGTCTACATTCATTCCAAATGACTTTAGGTACCCAAATGAGGCATCTGGGCTGGGAACAGAGCCTCTGCTCTTCCTCTCAGTCATGAGCCCTCCCAGGGTGAAGTCAGCATGTCTGGCATTGGAGCAGGATCCTAGAGGTGCCCCAGCTCTCTCAATTGACTTAAGAGGTGGCCTACAAAGACAGTCCTGGTGACTAAGTGACTTAACTGCACATGGTATGAATCCAGGGGTTACTTGGTTGCTCACACATAAACATCAGAGACCACATAAAATGCTGTGGATATTCCTTCTAGGAAGGCTGCACCTGTTCCACAAGGTTTTTCTGTAGGCCCTATATCATCCGCATGCTGTTAGGACCCCTTAAGTACCTGAGGCCATCCTGGGTGGTGTTGAATGCTTTTATATAAGCAACTGAGCTGAACCCTGATTGTCAGAGTAGATCTGAATGACCAAGGCAGCAACAGTAATATTCAGCTTACAAAGTCCATTAAGTGTATGTGTAGTGGGTGTCAACATTACCGTTGTAGCCAACAGACATCCAGTTAGTATGTGCTGGAGAGCATTATGCAGACCAAAGTAGGTGTCCATTTTACCAAATACTTCTCTGAACTCCATTGACTGTATAGATGGGATAGGATACAGCTGCCTAAACACAGGCACAGAGGTTAGCCAAGCTATACACATGCATGGCTGGCTGATGTGACAGGACTCACAAGAAACCACATTTCTTGAGTGAGACCGACCTGGAGGTCAGGAATAATTGTCTCCAGCACCCAAAATGGCACTAGACATACTTGTTCTCATGACCAACTTCCT